AATAAGATTCTAAGCAAATTGCACTCGATGTGCTACAAATGATAAGCAAAACCCACATATTTCGTTATTTCTTATTTCGTATGGTTGTATTGTTGGTGCTGCTAGCTCGATGGCGTGTTCAGGACGCAGCATTTCGATGTTAGCTGGCCTGAACACTACGGGCACTGGTCGGGTTCTCCTCTGCGTGGGTCTCACGTTTGGGACGGGGTTACTGGCGGATCTTCTGAAGCAAGAAACGATTATTGTGATCATCCATTTATCAAAAACTGATTTTTATTTGATTTGATATCTGGACCGTGTAAAACCTCGATTACTTAGATCATACTAATTCATTGTCATAGTTAGTTCTCAACGATTTTGGTAATATTCTCAAATGCTCTTCATCAGCATACGTCCAGCGCCAAGCGATTTTCTTTCCGCACTTCTTAATTGTTGAGTGAGGTTCATTCAGATGTCATTAGTGATTGTTTTTGGATGGATTGATGCCTTATAATGACTGACCAAAGCGAAATTATGCAATTAAGAACTGGAAAATGTGGAATGAATAGAGAAACAACTGACAAATTATAACGGGGTTGCGACGGCGTGGTGGGGGTTGGCGGCGTGGTGGGGGTTGGCGGTGTGGTGGGGGTCGGTGGCCTTGTCGGGGTCGGCGGCATCATGACCTCTTCAGATACGGGCGGTGGTGTTGCGGGCGCTACGGTGTTGATTGGAGCAAGCTGAAAATTATGTAATCAATGAGTGTTTCAAAATTAGGTTCAATTGTGATACTTCCAAATAGTCGAATGATACTTACCTCCATGGCTTGCCGCATCCATTCCTCCGATGCCAGAAACTGCAAAATAAATTCGTCAATATAGGTAAATGGGTGCTTGGTTCGTGAAATTAATTTTCAATTACGAGTTGATTCATTTGATCATTTGATACATTTTAGATAAGATCGTTCATCTGAGAAAACTCATTCATGAACTTTTCAGATTAATAGCAATCGTTAGTTGCGATGACCGATAGTGATTTGATGGTGTGATTACGATCGCAATGTGACATTTATGAAAATATTCAGAAGCGCTCACCGGCGTGGCAGCTGGTATTTCCAATGCAGCGTATCCACGCTCGTTCTTCATCACTCGCCATATTGGGCCGCTTATTCCAAACGTCCAGCTAC